CTTAATTGGCTCGTTTCACACATCTGTCTTCGACTCAAAGAGTTATAAAGCCCTTTAAAGATGTAAATCAAGAGCACTCAAGAAGCACATTGGAATACGCAGCATATTTTCTGATGTCTTCGGGTAGGTCAAATGAGCCCATCTCCGATTTCTAGTAACTGTCAATCATCATGAAAGCCAACATGGTTTTCGTTCCCTGCATCGCCAATGAGCAACCTTGATCTAATTTTAATCAGGGCCTTCCAAAAGCGGAACACACGGGTCCTTGCCCCTTTATTCATGGTGTCAACACTACGCCAACGCTATTCTTACAATAAATACTATAGCAATGATATCAACAGCATTAATTTTCTCAAATTTGAACACGCAAGGCACTTAAATTGTCAGCTTTACCTCTGGCATTGGACAAAAAAGTAAAAAGTTCCATCTCGATTATTAAAAACATCACAATTTAAAAAGACATTTAAAACAAAATATAGCAATTCAAATATGAGTAACAGAAAAAAAAACAAGAAAAGAAGAAAACGCCAAAAAAGATAACGTAAAAAGAGACAATAAAAGAAAAAAATTAAGAAAATATAAAAAATACCATAAAGTTATGATACGGAAATATACAAAAAAAAAAATCAACTCTCTTCCGTTTTCGCCTGAACGATTGGGCTCCCGTCCCTCCTACTTTGGCCGCGCGCCGGCCGCGTGTTTCACCTGCGTCGGGCAGCGCACTGCGGCTGGCGGCGGTGGCGGTGGCGCCTTGGAAGGAGGGCTTGCACGCTATCGCCCGCCTCTCCCAGCGCCCCTCCCCCCATTCATATTAAGTACGCGCTCGATACCACCACCGACTCGGCCGCTAAGCCTGCCTCCTCCCTCCCCCGTCCTCCACCCAGTAAGAGCATGACGCAACCTCAAGCAGCCCGCGCCTCAGTCGCGAACGCCCCCGATTCGCGAGCACGCCTTGCCTTGCCTTGGCGATGTACTCGTATGTACCTTACGACACCTGCCGAGGCTCGCTATCTCGATTTACGTTGAGCCGCGCGGCGCCTCGTGCAGTACGCGACCACGTGGCGGGAGCCCCTCTAGCTACAATACGAAAGCAAACCTGTAGTTTTTTTGTCTTTCTTTCATTGCCTTTGCTTTCTTCTCTTTGTTCTTTCTTTTTTATCCTAATTCTCGCTCTGAAAGAGGGGTTTGTTGAGTGGGACACCCAAAAATAACTTGGATTCGTTTAAGTGGGTAGAATCGACTGAGTTATGAAACGTCCTATTACATAGACGTTTCGTCTAAAATCACTTATTTTGATTTCAGACAATTGAGTATAAATACTTCACTCTGTATGATCTGTTCGAAATATTACGTTCAACTAGCTTGTTTTATATCCGAATGTAAATTTTTGATATAATTTAACTATAAGAATTTGGGAATTATCAAGGAACGCGAATACAAATATTTAGTGCGTGCCGTTTGTTTTAATTCGATATCTTTCCAGTGTCTCATCTTTAATGAGCCCTAGAAATATCAAGGAACTTAATTTTTTATCAATTTGAGGTCAGTGACACGGAATTAAATTAACACAAAAAAACAGGGAAAAAACGACAATATTTGACCAATTGGTTTCCAAAAAAGTCAGAACTGCGTTATGACGGAAAGATGTGTACTGTCGAAATAATATAATGAAATATTTTGGAACGCATTGCAGACAAAGAGCACAGTTAAGGACTATTGTACGGGGATAGTTCATCTAAAAGGACGACACTTCGAGTTTCCTGTCTATACAATACCGAACAAATTACAATGAAAATTGTTAGCTTTCCAACACTAAAGTGATTGTGTTTAGGTAGTCTCTCTTATTTCATATTTCAAACATATTAATTTACTTTAATTTACTCAATACTGATTTATTTAAGTATTTTATTATAAAGTCAATAATTCTGAAAAAGTTAGTCCTACTGGTAACCGATCACAATATATGATATAGAATAATACCATCTTTGTATACATGACATTTTTCCCTGCCGAACAGTTCGAGACATCCATCGAGAATGCAATTCTTTAACAATGATTGTTCTGAAGTTCATTGACCATTCAAATTTATATACGGAAAGAAATTTTAAAGGCAAGTTAGACGGAATTTTGAAAAAAATTCTACATTTTCATGAGGAGTTTTTACTCAAAATGGTGAAATTCCCGTAGAATTTTGTCTCAGAATGCACAAAAATATTACAGCAAAATTCTTGGATATACACTCTTGAATCCTCAATCAAAATCAAGACGCCCATTAACTTCACTTTCACAGTTAACAAACGATTTACAAATACATCAGATACCCTTAATTTTTCGTTTTTAACAATAAAGAAAAGTCATTCCATTTCAAAATTTGTGAAGAAATTTGAGGTGGGGTGTAATTGTTATTAATGAACTCAAATTGTTTAATTTTATTAATGCGTATGAAAAAGTAACATCAGAGTTAATTAGCATAAATAATCAATGACTCAAATGTTAAGTACATTAAAACAAAACGGTCCTGGAAACTCCAGAAACTCAATCAATTATCTATCGAACTGAATAATACCAGAAAATGTAAATTCTGTAACTTGTTAACAAACATTTTCAAAGCAGGTTTCTAGCAAAACACGTTTTCCCACTTTACTTGCATATTAAACAATTCAAACTTGAATAAAGTGAGCGGATTGTTTCAATATCAGATTCCAAACATGTGCCACGAAGGAGCCAGACATTATGCATGCCAGGCAGAGAACAACTTCCATTTACGAGAACAGATGGTACATCGGAGTACCACTTTATATAATATTTAAACATTTCTCAATTAATTAACCTAGTGGATACGTTCTTGCACCCTAAAATTCACACAAACTTCCAACATTTTTGAAACTTTTTGAAATGTTTTTTTAATAATGAAGTAAAATTGACTTTTTCCATAACTCCTCAGGGCCTGAAAATACCAATAGGCCTAACATGCAATTAAGGCTTAACTTTGGTCTCGCAAGATATAAAGATAATTAACCTTTAGGGGGCCTGCAATTAGCCAATTGGCTTAAGATGGAACCCAGCCTATTTCGAACTCTAAAGGGCATACCAATACGTGCGCCCAACCAATTACATTTCTGGACTTTTTGCACACAACCTTTTAAAAAAATGTTCATATCACATATTTTTTAATACGTAAAACGTACAAGGAAAAATAAATTATAATTCTAAGGATACTAATAATAAATATAAATGACTTTATATATTTAAAAATAATCGTCTTGTCCTGTGGGAATTAATGTTTATTTGGCTTGTGACCTACACCCAAGTACCAGTTAAACATTAATTGATTCTGTTAAACCATTTACACGGAGGCCAGATGGCATAAGAACCTCCTCCTCAATTGTGAAACAATTTCCCAAATAGGTTAAAACAGGGGGAAATCAGATTGAATATTATTAAGGTCATAAAACGTTTTATTACATAAGGCTCCGGGACCCCTATGGACACACCCTTAGGTACGTATCTACTATGCAGAGGCGGATCCGGCTGATCATTTTTGAGGGGGCGATAATAGATATTTGTTAAATAACAAACACTTATTATATTGTACATTATATTTGTAGTGTATATCAGGAACTACACAAAATTATTTTTTAGCTTAAGCATTTTAATATAATTAATATTTAAATCAATTTTGCCAAATAAAAAAGGTAAGAAACGAAAATTCTAGGCCTGGGGGGGGGGGGGCTCTGGATCCGCCACTGCGTCTGTGGTATGTAGAAATTAACTATAAGTTTTTTAAAATATTTTTACAATATTATCAAATAGCAATGGTTTCTTCATACGCCATCATTTTCTGAAGCCCTACACCCACGTGCCGCAATTTCGTCTCCACGTAACAACTTTCAAACCAAAATATACACACATATGTTCCCAATTCCTCGGCGTCTTTGAATTCGCCGCCGTGAGTTTCATTCATAAAACTCGCTGTTGAGCTCAAAACTCCCGGGTTCAAAATCCAACCCCTCTGTTCACACACAACTGTTCCGGCGAACGCGGTCCCGCTCGTCAGGCGCGCCACGCCGGCACATTGCCACCCGCGCCAGATGGCGAGGTGCGCCAGCCGCCGCCGGCCCCACCGGCGAATAGCCGGCCGCCCTACTTGGCGACGCCGCGCCGGCTGGCAGGCAGGTGAAAGGGAAAGCGTGCGGCGGGGCGGCCCTTCAGAGGGCTTGAAAGGGCCACGCCGGCCCGCGCCGCGGGGCCGCTGGCCTCTGCCGAGCCCACTCACCTGCAGATGCGCGTTGGGCAGCGGCGCGCTGAACGGGACCGAAGGCGAGCACGTGTGAGCAGCTGCGCTGCGCTGGCGGGAGGCCTCTCAAAGTGCGTACGCTTGGCGCTCGACGCCGCCTGTGAAACTAAACCTGTGGCGGCTGTGAGGTCGTAGAAGAGGAGGCAGCGCCGACCAATGGCGTTCGGCCGACGGAGGCCGGTCGGCTGACGCAACGCGCGAGCATAACGCGCCAGACGCGCTTAGCGCTCCGCGCGGCGTGGCCCGGAACCCCCGCCTACGGCCGCGGAAGAAGGGGTGGGCCTGTCGTGAGATGAATGGAGCTTGCATTCCGAGCGGGTTATCGATTGCACGTGAACTGCAGGACATGAATAGTCAAGTTTTTGGGTTTTGCAAAGTCATGAAGTGGCTAGTCATCGTAGGTTATTTCTGACGTAGTAGTCATAGGTGCTAGAGCTTAAGAGAGTTTAAATAGAGATAAATATTAACATTCTTGCTCTGTAGTGAATAAGAACTTCAGAAAACGATTCTACAAAACATCAAATTCTTAAATATGTGGGGGGAAAAATTAAGTTTTTCTTCGAATAGAACACAAGGCGAAAAAAATCGAATAATGGCCATCAAAATATAGTACATTGTCATCCTTAGCCCTTCAGTTTTACAAGTACAGTACAGTACAAGTAGTTTTCCAACCTGTTTTCCACAGTCCTTAACCAGCAATTACCTTTCGTCTTAAGGTCTTTCACTGCACCCCCAAGCCAAACATGAGAACTGAATTGAATCCATTTTAGTATATTTTACGTTAATTTGACCTTCGTTGACTTCTCCATGCATCAAGGCGATGCTTTCTCGGAGAAGTTTGTAACATCCGTGCATTCACATATCCACACTTACTTCGATGTTAAATATCTGTCCCTGAAGAGGCAATAGTGTCAAGAGAGCCACTGTCAAGGACATTTTTCTGACGTGATAGTGTTTATTTTTGTTAAAACGGCCTCTGTTCACAAAAATAGTTGCTTTAAGAAACTTCACTTGCTGCATAAGTTACTTTGAAATAAATGTAAATAAACAGGAAAAGAATGACTTTGGGAGTCTCAAAATAAAAATGCGCGTTATCTGCATACCGGAGTAGCTAATAAATATTGTTTTTCCTCCTCAAGCTTGTCCTTGACATTGAAAAGCTGAATAACGGTTCGAATACAATGGATCTCATTTGTGTAACTTGGTGTCCTTGAATACTGCATCATACACTAATTTGAATTGATCCCTTTACGTTGAAAAATGTATTCATACTATGTGGTAAACCAAAAACCAATTTCCAATAGTAATTATAAGGCGACAATCAATTTAGATGAATTAGTGGTAATATCAAATTAATAAGAGGCCATTTTCAAATCAGAAAGCATAAAACAAATATGAAGGGTAACAAACTACTTTTTTCGTATGATTGTATTTTCGCCGACTAAAAAGGAAAATCACATTTAACATCTATAATTCTTTCATCAAGAAAAACGTAAAGACGAAAGTTGATATGTGCCTGTTGTATTAATTTATTATACTTTCTTTGGTCGCGTATTGGCTGCCTAGGACCACGCGGACACACACCTGCACTTACCAAAGTTCAGTAACATTTAATTCGTGGCAAGATTATGTGACTCCTTTTTGAGAGCAATCAACATTGTGTTGAATCCAAATCTTAGACCCCAGAGTTGCTAGTCCTGGAGGGATGGAAGATGGAATGATGATGAAAATGAAAGATAAATTGACAACCCACCCATACATACACAAATACACCCTGCCCAAGGCAGAATTCGAACCCGCAATCATTCCGTTCGGGATCGCCATCACTATTGCTTTAGCGATATCGGCTATCCGGATCGGATTATAATTTATTATTATTATTATTATTATTATTATTATTATTATTATTATTATTATTATTATTATTAGTCTTAAACACAAAGGCGTGATGATTCTTCTCTGTTTTAGTTTCTTGCCCGAAGACTTACGAATCCCAGAGATATCTATGCACGATATGGGCGGTGCGCAGTAAAGAGGTCAATTGCAGTTGTTTCGAATGTATACTAATAGTCTCACATTAAGGTCTCTGGTGCCCAGATGTTTTGTTAGATCTATGTGCATTGTCCATGTAACCCCATTTACTGCTGGAACAGCGTTACAAGAGTATTTCTATCTCTATCTCTATCTCGAGATCACGATAATTCGAAGTTTCTTCGACCTCCATCTGGTCTATTATGTAATCTGCTGGGATGTTCACATCCACTATCATAATTGCTTGTATCCAATAACGGCGACATCTCACATGTTATGATCCAACCTACGGGCTGTCTGAACTCGAAATTCAAGAGTATTTTCATGTAAGTGAATTCCTTGTCTGGGTAGTGGTTTCACAATTAATCAGTTTCCTGCAAGCCATGCATTCGTCTTACAGATTTCAGTATGGTATGATGACCACTCTCTTTGTTTTTAAATGTATTACCTTGTTGATTTAACAAGATCAGTAAAAAGTTATTCTATACAAGTTTCTAGTGGCTTACTACTAACTTACATGTTACGAGATTGCTTAAATAAAATGGCCGAGGAAGCCAAACAGGCACCTCTCTGGTATTAATTTCGGCGATTTTTTTCTCTTGAATACTTGGAGAGGGAGTATTTTTTTTTTCAATACTGGTCGAGTGTATTGGGTTTTAGCCGATGTTGAATGCATTTATACGTAATGTGGAGATTTGAGGTATGGAGAAATAGAATTTGGAGGAAAGGTAATTAGTGGTCGTTAGTAACGTAATCTGTTGACGGTGGTTTGGGCTGCAATAATCCAGATGAGGCACGTGTACATAAGGATGGGTCTTAATATTGTTTTGTAAATTATTATTGCTATGTTATCTGATAGTGCGTAATTTCTATTGAATACAGGAGACCACACTAACGTGGCGTTGTTCGCAATTTTAAGAGGCAATCTTTCAGCAGACACTACTTACATGGCTTCGACTTGTTATTTGTACAGCGTACACTTGCCATCCTCTAGACTTATCTGTGCATGGATGGTCTTAATCGTTGGAGTCTTGGTCAGCTAGGCTCATATCTTATATCTGTTTCTAAAGGACGCCAAGGGATCAGTCAGGTCCAGGTGAGAGAATCTTCTACTTTTCCTTCGAAGTCTCTTGAACATTCACCATGTCGCGGTTTTCCATGTTGCCTTGTTGATGATTTCCTCTCTGTTGATGAAGCGGGCGTTTCCCAAGTGCAGTATACCCTCCAAACGTACTTCGTCCACACTCCTTTTCCTTGTGTGTTGGATGTATTCCGTCAGTGTTTGCTCCTCCTGCTGAGATACAGTCTGCCGACATCGCTTTGCGTATCGTGAGCGCGATATGTTGGCTTTAGTTTTCTGGTTTTTGCGGTCCAAATTATCCAGCTCTGATTGCGTTCTGTCTTGAATGCCTGACTTCAGGTTCTGTCGAGGTAGTAATAGCCTGAATGAGATTTCCTCCGTTAAGCTAGGTTATGAACACATCGCTTGTATTCCAACGATGCCAACGGCCGTAATGTATTGATAATTGATTTATCAATAATGATTTGAATTTAGCTCAAGGGCTTCCTTTATGCTTGAGGATATTTTACATGCAGTAAATCTACAACATGAGGCAGCCGGCATTACGTCCCCTCCGAAGAAAGGCGTACGAAGGATTTTTCACCCTTACGTAATAATCCGAGGCTTCGATTGGGCTTGAACCCGCGAACTTGAGTGTAACACTCCGTTACACCATCGAAATCGCCCCTAGAGGAGAACCTGTCCTAAAATGACATATCCATAAGAAAAAAAATGCTTCAAAATTTCTAATTTTTAAGTCGGAACCTTAATTTTTTGTGAGATTTCTAGAAAATAAACACAGACACATTTAGAGAATAAAATGACAACATATTTTATATACCTAATATAATGATTTTTTGGAAATGCTCCAGTGTACGTTTTCTTCAGTATCTGGGTAAATAATATAGGAGACAATGCAATTCAGAAATCGCACTTGTATGTGGTTGTAGATCACTGAACCTTATGTAAGTTCCTATCACTTCTATAATAATAATAGAAATAAAATAATAATAATCCGGAAATGCGAATTAAAATCAATGTAAATAATGATTTTAATGAGTGTTAAATATACAGGTAACAGCAACAATGATGAGAAAGATATATTAGACGCTTTAAGTACTTGCCTATATAATTTTAACCCAGAAGCGAGTAAGTCATTTTACCTTTAATTCAAACGTACACCAAGCACGCGTACCAAATAGGAAATATGCTGAAAGAAATGAGAAAGGAAGTATTTACTTACCTTATCTACTAGAAATATATTGAATCACTCCGAAACAATTTAAATTATAACAAAAGAACAGTTGTAAATGTCTCAGTTGACCCTCCATAATTTCGCTGTTTGTGAAAAAATGTTCATGAAAGAAATACACAATTTCCTGTGTAACACTGTTATAACAAACATAAAACCTACTTTGCTCTTGTAAAATGTGCAAGGGAAAACATGGATTGCAATCAGGAAAAATATGTCGTTTTACCCCAGTATGTCATTTTAGGATTCATCTTTTGGTGTTATAAGTTGTTACTTAAATAAATTGATAAATGTATTTTTATGAAATATTACGTGTCATTGCGTGTACAATTCAATGCAAACAACATTACTGGCACTCCACATTTTGTGTTTTATGATTTTGTAATCATAGTTGAACTGATCTTGGGTCTGTCTAGGGGTCTGTTATAGCTGGTAATAGGTCACATTATTGGAACCTTTGAGTCATTTTGCAAAGTTTTATTTGGAAGGTGCTCTGGCCCATTGGGTAGGAATCTGAGGAAAGTATTCTTTGTTGAATCTTCTTTGGATTGAATGTCAGTTCTCCGAAGTTGAATGCCATTACACTATGTCGGCTTGCGGATGGCTTTGTAAACTATATTTTTCTACCGAAGGGAAAAAGGAGAGTTTCAGCTGATTTTCCAGAAAAAATGGAAGGAAACATCTTCCCCCATTTCAAAGATATCAATATTGTTACTGAATGTGGCAAAAGAAACAAATTGTGAATAAGAAGGCAGTTACACAAAAATCAAGTCAGTTGTATAATCACTTTATTTTCCTGTGAACTCACTTGATTACGGTCATCATAAAACACTTGTTTAAAAGAAGTGAAAGTGACATAATCCAGCTATGAATAAACACATTTCAAGAGCGTGTTAACAATTGACGGCGGTGATAAACGAGATACGTTAGCGAGAAGTGTTTTAGAAAACTAATGAGATGGCAGATTCGGTTGCATTCTCATTATCTCGTCACATATTGTTCTCGTCACAACAGCATGATCATGCTGTTGCCAAAACTGAAGTCACGGTGATAAACAGCGACGTCACCACTTGTTAGCTTTCTTAAACTAATGCCTCGTACGCGACTGTAGTAAATTGCACGAGCATTCGAGTTCATCGACTTTCAACATGGAAGCTAATGTTGAGTGAGGAAAAAAATGCGTACGAAATTACTTCATTTCACTTTACGATATTGTTCCAAATTATATCGTTCTAAACGAGGTCTTTTCATAGTTTTCAACTGTTTCTATTGCCTTCATTGTCATTGCAAATCTAGAAAATTTATACATATTGAGTACACTCAAGTGGAAAAGAAATTCGCCAGCGTGGTCTCCTCAATTAAATAAGCAAATGTTCTTAATGTTTTTGGCTGAGAAGCGCCTCGTTTCTCCACGGAAGTTTCTTGGTTATTTCTCACTTTTACCGTCCAGAAGGCTGTTCTTACCTTAAGACGAAGCTCTGAGGATAGTTGACGACGAAAAAATCTACATTTTTCGGATACAAAAGAAGAAAAAATCAAATTTGTGAGTTGACGGAATCGGGCTGCAAATAACGACAGCTCTGTGTAGCGCATGGCCCTGTGATAGGGTCCAATTTTAGACCGTCAGAACCTTAGTCTGCAGACGCCTTAGTCTGCAGAATTGCAGTGCGCTAGATGTTCACAAAATTAATGACGCTAATGATTTGTCGAGTCTAAAACAGCTGTTAGAGGGAAATACTCATAATTTATTTATTGATTTATTTTTGCGACACACAGGAAGAAAGGAGACGAAATCGAAAAACTGTAAAGAACACTTTCCATTGGGACCTATTCTTTTGATAACAAAATGACATATGCATTATTTATTGCAAATATTGTCACAAAAATGCTGCAACGTGCTGGTGTTATTTTTTCCACCTGAAACTTGTTTCTTCTGTAAGATTTACAACTAGAAGCATTTATAAATGAAACATTGAACGCAGAAAAAATACACTGATCACGTAAAACAAAGATGTTCAAATATATCTTGACAAGTGGAGAATATCAACAAATAATTGGGTAAAAATCCATTTGTCTGTTCTATAATGAGCAGCAAAAGTTACTTATATTTCTTTCACAAGAAAAGTATCTTCGAAACATGCATCAGCATCTTAATTCACTAGACAGCAGAGACTTCCAAATCTCAGTGTCATTACCCTGCACCTAGTAGTCCTGCAAGTCCATCACCTCACGGTTGGAACGCTTCGCAGTCAACCGTTTGGGGTATTCGATGAGTCTGGGTTCGCTGTTTTTACGTATTCAACTAATCTAATAAAACTTATCAAATTAATAAATTTAAAAATACTTTTACATCTATTTCAAGCTAGTTCTAGTATAACATGTGATTAGTAAAGGAAATTAAAATTTATCGCATCCCCTTATTAAAACATGGATGAGTTTTATTCATGTATCATCATCATCTCTATCACCAATCACCTTCACCAGTACCATCATCATCATTATCATAAAAATTTCTCTTCTATCACAATTATTTCCGCATTTAGTGTTCGTCCGTTATGTGTTCATGAATCTACTCGTATTTGCTGTCGCCAACTTTCTTGGTCAACCATTCATCTTATTGTTTTTGGTTATAAAGTTATAGTACGCTTCAATAATCTTTACCCTGGTATAAGGAGCAGGTATCAGCAAGGAAGACCATTAAAGCAGCATATTCCATGTGTGTCTTATTGATTCATTTAGTTTAAATTTCGTTGTCACAAGTGTGATCGTAGGCATCTCTGAAACATCATTGTGCTATTCTGATGTTATTGTATTATAACAAAATGATTTTCATCATCTACTAGACTTCCTTATTGTGTTTTTTCGATCATGGTTTTACCCCGTAAGGACGAACTCCATATAGGTAAAGAGGCTAAAAGGCTACCACACGTAGTCACTTTTAAGTTATAAAATTAGTAGCAACAATAAACAATCCGTGAAAATGAATGAATCATATATTTATCCTCATTTTATCCTTCTGTGTCCTGTTCTTATTGTTGTCACCACCATTGCTTTATAAAATTACAGGAAAATATGGGTATCTGAATTCAATAATATTCTATCAGGTAAATAAATCTTGCCAATTACAAGTGCAGATATTCGTGTTACTGAATTCGCTATTGATTTTGAGCACCTAAATCCTGGTTAAACGAATCATACTGGGGCTTTTGTTACTGTGGTTGATTACTGCAATAAATTCAAAATACAGTATACCCTAGATAAGGACCCAAAGCAGAATGAATTAGATATTACAAATATGAGTAGTACCGTGTAAGGTCAGCTATAATGTTTACAGTGGTTAATAATGTTAACCAAATTTATTCTGGCAATAAAACGTCACATTAGCAAGAATTTCTGTTTGCTTGTGTGATATAAAATCTTGTCTCTTCAAAAGTAGAAGCGCCTTACAATGCCTTACAATGAAACTCGGGGCACTTGCTATCTAACTTCTCGTGGAAACTGGTCCATCTACGTGGTGGAACCCGACTACATTTAGAATTAATCAGTGACTCCTTTTTATTTGACGAGGTACTAGCACGAAGTTCTTCCCACACTTGCGAAAGGAAACGAGACATGAAAGTGCAATGAGTGTGAGTGTTTCATCATGCCTGAACCACTTGCACCGTCGGTTGAACGCATCTTTGCTGACGCCTGCCGAAGCCTAGGCCAACGCCGCTCGCGCCTCGGGTCGTCTTACGAGCGGGCGTCCGAGGCAACGGGCAGCGAGAGGTACTACAGTGGGGCAACATCCCAAAAAAATGGCAAATCATTACGAATGCAATGCATTAAAATTAATATTTCCCCATATATTGTGTATTTTTTGTTTGTTGTTTAACTACTGCAACTTCTAGGTCATTAGCAACCTCTATTGCTTGTAACGGTATGGTAACTGTGAGGATGACACGATATGATGATGGGGGGTGAAAGGACGAACACAATACAACCATGCCCGAGGCGAGACTCGAACCCACGATCCTTCGGTCCGAAATCGCTCCGGCAGTACTTCCTTAGCGATCTAGGCCACCGGATCGGCTTTGGATAATTTGTTTTGCAAAGTGAAGGATATTTAGTATATACTACGAGCTTAATATATCGCTCGTGGGCTGCAACAGTGGCACAACTCAAAAAATTCGAATTTTGAGTTAATGCTTACTCACCAGAATTGCAGATTGGTCCACCTTCCGGCGGCAACAGCTGCATGTCATACTGTAGAGTATTCCACCGAGAAACGGCAGATATGTGGATGCAAGAATGAGGCATTTCAATTAAAGATGAATCAACACCTGTGTTTTGAGTTGTGCTACTCTTGCAGACCTCGAACGATATACAAATGAAAGAGATACAGTCAATGAACTTTAGAGAAACTCATTAATTACTAGAAGTAATTAATCGATGAATTCGAACTTCTATCGAAATTACATTTGGAATATATGGCATGAATGGCTTAATTTTGGAGTCTCGAGGCCGAGCAACCCTAATTTCCAAATATTTTTTAATCTGAAAATTCATATACAGAATGTTTAATTATAAAATCTGTCTGTAAGGTAAAATAAAAGCAGTTTTATTTACATCTCCGCCTGACTGTACCCTCCCCCTACCATTCCACACTTCGCTTCACGGGCTGCATATACGATCCCAAAACCAATCATGAGGTGTAAGCAAATTCGGGATAACACCTTGTAATCAAGGTACCTCTCCCTCTGGTACTCTCAGCCGCTCAGAAGTATTCGTACAAAACTTCGGAGTGGCTCAATCGCTCTCGTGAAAAAGCCACAAACACACATTATTTTCTCTTTTATGTGTTTATTTAATGCTTCGTTTTTTTGTTTTGTATATTGATGTTTTCGTGTTTGTTTTGATTGACTGATTAGTGAAGAGCGTCGACTGCTAATCCCATTAGTCTGTGCATGTATGTAGTGCATGTTTTTTCTCGAGAGGTGACGGTGGTCTTACCCCGCTGAATGGTGAGATTCGGCGCCGACCTCCTGTCTGGTAAAGGGCGTTCCTCAACTAGGTATCTCCCACCAGCGGGGCTCCTGACAGGACAAGCTCTAAGCTCCAGACCGGTCTCCTGGCGTGTGTGATAGTGTAGTGCATGCAAATGTAAGTGTGTGTAAGGGGTGAGGATAGGACAAGGCAGAGAAAGGAACGATTGCGCACAGTCCGTTACCCGATTGTTAGGGTGCTGCTCCGGCATGCGCTCGGCATTGATCGGAGAAACAACGGAAAATTGCCGAAAAGAGCAGCCGGCCGCTAGACTTCTCCTCCAGACAGAAGCTGAACTCGACCTAGCTATCTAGCAGGTATCAAAAATGTTGCCACGCACCAAGACTCGCACCTAGGACCTGTCGGTTAGAGGCACTGCAGTGACATCAGTCGTTTCCCTGAGCCACCTCTCCCGGTCGGGGTTGTTAGTGCCGCCCGTGTTGTCTGGCCCACTGCGCGGCGGGCAGTGGGCGGGACNNGGGTCGGGTAGGCGGGCCGGAACGGTACGGCGCGCCGGGGGCTTGCCCGGGCCCGGAATGGCGCCGTAGTACTCCGCCGCCGCGCCACCTCCCCCTCCCAAGCGCCGGAATGCGCTTCCAGCCCTGCCTCAATGGGCGGGAAACCGTGGCCAAACCACGAATATTGACTGAAAGTTTGGAGAGAAATGTTCGATAGTATTGTTCGAGTTCGTAGTCACTCCAAAACTGTCAGGGATTTTCGACACCAGCTAGACAGCTAGGTCGAATTTAGATGCTCCCTGACTGAAGATCACTGCCATCTCCCTCTGACCGGGAAGTCCTAGGTTCGACTTCCGACGGCAGCAGGATTTTCGGAACTAGCTACACAGCTAGAAATAAATTCATCTGCTGTCTGGAGATTTCTAGCGGCTGGCTGCTTTGATCGATAGTTTTCCGTGGATCGATAGTTTTCCAGGCCGGTCGGCCGGCCGGCAGTCAGTCAATCTGTGAATACCTCTAGCACCTAAACCATAGGTACGATTTTGTCCAAAATGGATTTTCCCGGTCGATCTATTAAAGGGTACTTTATCTAACGACAGCGAAATTTTGAAAATTTACTCAAAAACGACTCCAATTTTTTCTTTAAATTTCTTGTAACGATTGAGTTTAACTCTAAATTTTCGAAAATTGCAAAGGTTTCAATTTTTTTCGCGTATTCCTACAACCACAAAATTGAAGATGTAGGTTTTTCTGCCATATAAAATTTGTTGGACTCGGTCTAGTCGCGTCGATTATTTTGAAGATATATTATCTTGAAATAGTTTAAAAGAAGGGTGAAGGTCAGTGAAGAAAATCATAATCCGTTTCGGAAATCAGAGGAGAAAATCGTCATCTCAGGTACGCTGATGACACACTTTTGGCGAAAAACAAAACTGACTTAAGTGAAGTAAAAAAAATTGGCGAAGAAGAAATTGAAAATGCAAGCCTTAAATTAAACATAAAGAAAACAAAAGTAAAGTGTACAAGGAAACAAGAGAACATGATGATAGATGGAGAAGAACTTTGTATGGTTGATAGTTACAATTTTCTGGGTCACTCATTACCGTCGACGGATCAAATAAAGAAGAATAATTCTAGGCAAGTAGCAATGGCGAAAGTAAAGAAGGTAATGAAAACCTCAGGAATATCCACGAACACAAAAATCAAAATGATTCAGACGATGTTAATCCCTGTGGCGCTCTATAGGTGCGAAAGTTGGGAACTGAATAAACGTGATAGGCAACTTTGAGCTTTGGGCATGAAGGAGGATGTTAAGGATGTCCTGGACAGAAAAGAGAACTAATTTATGGATAATAAATTAGATAAAAACTAGACATTCCTGAGAGGCGATAGCCACAAAATTTAAAATTAAGTACTTCAGACATATTATGAGAAGGAATTATTCACTGGAAAAGGACTAGACAGGTGCAACAAGGAAACGAGGAGGAAAGAGAACACGATGGATCAAAGAAATAATGGCAACACTGTGAACGAGTTCGACATATATTAAGTTACATGCAACACTCAGGACAGAAATGTGTAAAGAGATGCAGTCAACCAAGCGATAGGGAACAGAAAGAGACAGCCAGAAGAATACGGGAAGGCAAGACACTGACCTTCTTGCTATGAATCTCCAGGTGTGGTACGCGACCTGAAGGGATAGTCAGATAAAATACCAGTAACCAGAATTTTCTTAGTTAGGGCTTCCCACTACTTCAAGTCGTCTGCCTCATCTCAACGTAAAGATTGATGGGGCTACAGAAGGTGAGAGTACATTTAGGAGTAAGCAGGTGGTTTGCCATCAAGACAGTTCTAAGCATCAACATTACCTTACCATATTTACCTAAAACCTGACCCCTAGCCTGACGCCTGACCCCTAGCTATAACGCTATGCATTAGCAATCCGTTGTTTTTCCTGTTGTGAACATACAAAATCACAAACAAATTTATAATGGACCTATCTGTCGGTCACGAGTGTAGTGATCTTATCAGGTTTCTGAAGTGGTCGCTAGGAAAGTGTTTGTCAGACAAATATTCCCATTTTGATTACAAGAAACTAAATCGAGGATATTTGCTTGATGATTTCACGTGATGGGTTCCTCCTCTGCAACAGTATGGCTCTACACCCGGCGTTTTTAAGAGTGGCATTGTATCTCGAGATCACCTTGTCGTTTGATGCCCTTCTAAGTCCCGTGCCGGCATTTCCCTATCAGGAACACGCTACAATGGATGTTCAAGCGAATAATGAAAATCAGAGGCAGCTGGTACCCTGCCCAAAATAGGGGTTGCAGTTTAATCAAAGGTGGGAATGCAATTTCCAAAATTCAGGACACTAATACATGATAAAATAAGCAATGTAAATTCATTAAAACTAAGTTTAAAAAGTTTATATTCAAACATTGCTTACATCATTTTATGCCCAAGAGTCCATGGTAGTAAACCTCCAGAGCACGTGATTGTGGCTTTGATTTCAAATGGCCACTCGAATCGCCATGGAGTGTTGTAGTTCCATATTGTGGCAGTATCAGGTACAAAAATATTACAAAATAAAAACGGACTAGGATACCAAAATATGGTGATCATACTCTATCACTTTGCAACAAATATTATGGTTTTGTCATGTTTAAGAACAATTATATTCCAAGATTTTCGTTGTTTTTGATGCTACTGGTGCTGATGACAATGAAATAAAATTATTTAAATTATAAAATTATCACTAGCCTAATATTGATTACAATAATAGAAGATCAGTAAGTTTTCAGGAAATTTTACCTTTTAGTGAGACATTTTTACAATATTCATAACCTTTATAATTAAAGCGATATCAATAATCAATTATTCAAATCGTGAAGTGCGGTGTAATGAGACGAGAAGGTTTTTTCGGTGTAAGTTCACAAGGAGGAAACGGCGGCCACAACGACGATCAGCAACAACAAAACGTATCGCACAATAATTGTCGCTCCAGATCTCGTATGCACAACGAAGTTAAATGACTACACAGAAAAGCATTGAATTCATTTAGGCCAACGAAATTAAAAGAAACTGTCAAAGGACTGTCCATTTTCAATTAAGCACATTTGAAAATTTTGAATCAACGAACTTAATATAAAAAATTATGAAACAGAAAGGAGTTCCACAGCTTATAATCAGAGCTTTTCACAGCTTGCGTGTCGAAAAGAAAAATCATTATTGGCAAATGGAAAATAATAAAAAGCACCCTGATTCGGAAGATATAAATTGTGGAGTAAGACAGGGATGCGCAGTGTTTACAACAATCTTTAGCGCGCACGCACGCACGCGCACACGCACGCATATATATATATATATATATATATATATATATATATATAAAATAATCTTCAGGATCATTTTACTGCATAAACAATTCCATAATAGATACACTGCCTTTTCCTGATGGTCCGATCATTATATCTAATTCTGAAGGTACGCTTGAGTTTATTGTCCAGTCTCGGAATCATGTATGTAGAGAGCATCATTTACAAATATCTATTGATAAAAAAAAGATAATGGCATTCTATGAGAAACAAAATAGTACTCGACCATATTATCTTAGAACACGTCAGCAATTTCAACTATCTTTTAACAATATGCTAAAATAAACTAAATAAATTCAACGGAATGTCTAGGAGCCTCAAAATCTGAAAGCAACAAGCAAAGAAACATCTAAGTAATGGCTATCCCCATCTTCCTTTATGGATCTGAGAACTGGACTCTCGCAAAACATCAAGCCAGCCGAATTGATGCTGCTGAACTAAAATTACTCGTTTATTTTACCTCAAACACATTGTTACACAAAACATTATAAAATAAACTTCATTAAACTTGGTCACTCATAAGCAGAACTATGAAACAAAAATTTTAATATTTTATTCACCATTTGAAGAGTATTACAAGGCTATTGCTTTGGTATGTCATTTTGTACATTCATTCGTCATCAAGCTCATCATATTGACAGGAAATAAACACATTTTTGAAGAAACATTTTACTCACAGTTGAAATAGTGCCTATTCAGATAATAATATTTTTAAAGCTCAGTCTTTAAAAAATATAGAACTATTCTAATGGCACAAAACTGAATACCTGTGTTAAACTTTACGAAGTATATTTACAATACATTGCAGGTATTCAAATATATTCTGATGAATTTCCTAATATTAACAGAGTTTCCCAGATCGATTTCGTTTCAACAGATCTCGGTTTACTCCACTGGCTAAAACAGGTTACTGACTGGCCTATAGATGCAATAACACAAACATTGATTTTATCACATGGAATGAACTCAAAAACTGAATGAGGATACCATAATGTTTGATGGTAACAGAATATCGTTTAAATATTTCCTAAAGAATAGACTTGCAAAACACGAAGAATATATCCAATCCTATAACAAGTTCATTTGTTAACATGGAATTTACAATGGCGTATGAAATGTGCATGCATCCTTTTAATATTTACAGGAAAGTATGCCATGTGAAAGGCTTGTTAAATTCTTTTCCATTCCAATTAAGTCCAAGACAAGTGACAGTGTAGTTGCTCGGTTAAAAATTTGTTTTGGAAATCACAGAAATTCAAAATTATTAATGAAGAATATGTAAGTGGTTTTAAATTTTATTGAAAGTATTTAATTACCTCTTGACATTATTTGATATTTAAGGTGACTAAGATTGTGTACAACTCGGAAACCGGAAGAGAAGTGCTATTGATTGAATAGTAGTATTGAATAGTCATATACAGTATATTATCCGTGATATTTCAGCAGTATCGCTGAGATAATTACAACGGGACCTGTTTCACTTCACCTACATCCCTACAAACAAGCCAACACGATCGCTCGCGTATATATCTAGGCAAATCGATAAGTTTTTATTTGTTCATAATAAATTTGAGGTTGTAGTAAATTTTACCCAAACTTCTATTCTTTGGTAGAAAGAGACTGCATTCTACAGATATTCTATGTTTCGTAATTTTTAGGTGGAGTCCTTATCGTTTTGTCAAATAAATGCTCTATAGATACGCAGGAATTATAGTGTGCAGTTATCGCAATTTGCTTTAAAATTCTCCCATTAATATTGATGAAGATTGCATGTGAAAGGCTTCTGATATTACCATGATTCACATTTGCCCTCAAGATTTTCTACACATCGTGCAACCACGCAATTTCTGTTGATTGTCAACCTAATGTGATTTGATTTTTGACAGTTGGCAACACAACACTCAGGATCATCATTTTGCCAACAAAGATTTTCAGTATTTCCAGCCAAAACCGGCAATGTATTTTGTTCCCTGTCCAAGCGTGATCGTTGGTTGGCAGTACGTTCATCAAAACCCCTCCACACAACCAACACCTGCTCGGAAATTCCAAAAAGAAAAAAAAGAAAAAAAAGAAAAAAAAAGAAAAAAAGAAAAAAGAAAAAAGAAAAAAAAGAAAGAAAAGAAAAAAGAAAAAAGAAAAAAAGAAAAAAGAAAAAAAGAAAAAAAAGAAAAAAAGAAGAAAAAAAAGAAAGGAAAAAAGAAAAAAAAGAAAAGAAAAATCAAAATGGTTCCAACGCGCTAATCGTGAGGCTTGGTGCAGGGCCCACTCTCATTCCAGGCGGGGGTACACGGAAATGGTGTTGGTGGAGTGGCGAGGCAGGTGGGACGCGCGAGGGATTATGGACGGGCGCGGGGAGCGGGCGTAGGCGGCGGCGGCGGGGTCGTCCTCCGCGCTGAGCAGCGGCTCGTTCTCCTCGGGGTCTCTCCACGCCGGCCGCAGCCGCAGCATCAGCTCCGCCACCATCATGAGCGTGCCGACGGCGGCCAGGCCGAAGAAGATGCCGGCGCCCAGCTGCGGCGCCATCACGATCAGACCCACCAGCGGCGCCAGGTCCTCCGTCAGCGCCACGCGCTGGTTGAACCACACCATCGGCACCCACTTGCGCCCGTTGATTTTTTCGTACATCCTGCGGACAGTTCGAGCGGGCGTGTAACCACCGGGATGGTTTCCTAATCTCACATCCCAGATGTAAATGTAGAATACGTGCTCTTTTTATTTTCAATTGGTAGACAATTGAGGCATTTGGGTGTATGAGATTACTTTCGCCGTTTTAGGGCGGCGATGGAGTAACGGTTAGCGTGTTGGACTGTTACACAGTCCTTCCCACAGAAAAGGTCACTGACGTGAAATAAAATACAATAAGTTGCTTGTTCTTAGAGTACATGCTTTTTTATTCAAAATAGTCTCCTTGTGAGTCAACACACAACTGTGTATATCCAAGTTGGTGGGTTCAAACCTGATCGAAGCCGTGGATTTTAAAGGGCGAAAAAATCCTTCGTACGCCTTCCTTCGGGGGGGGGGGGGG